CCTAAGGTCAATAATGGTTTAGGGCTATTCAACTGGTGGCCAGCAGGCCACATCTGGCCCACATGAATTTGATTTTTTTTAACTTAATTTAATAAATACAATTTAAATCAATGGTTCATTTTAAATTTATGATTCAATGCAACAAAATAAACAAATTTACGAGGTAAAAGATAAGAACACTTGTTCTTTTAGACAAAGCAGAGTTTCTCCACCCTGTATCATGCCACGCYCCCCCAGGATGTCCAGTAAAGGCTGATACAACAACAAATCATTCAGTGATTTATAAACTAACAGCGTAAGGACTTCAAAACTGGGGTAATGGGCTTTGTTTAGTTTAGTTTAGTTTAGTTTAGTTTAGTTTAGTTTAGTTTAGTTTAGTTTAGTTTAGTTTAGTTTAGTTTCATTTTGTTTTGTTTTGTTTTGTTTTGTTTTCTTTTATTTTCTTTTATTTTAGTGCGGTTTTAGCAAGGTTCTGGATCAGCTGCAGCTGTCTGATGGACTTTTGAGGCAGACCTGTGAAGTAGAACCTGTGTTGCAGTAATCAATTCTTTTGAAGATAAGCACGAGGAGTTTTTCAAGATCTTGTTGAGACGTTAGTCCTTTTATCCTGGAAATGTTTTTCTGTAACTGTCTTTATGTGTTTCTGAGCTATGCAGAGTCTTGATCGCTCAAGATAAAGAGAACTGTAACCAAAACAAATGTTAAAGCAGTGTTACTGAGGTCACCATTGTAGCCACACATCTGTATCTGTCACTCCCTGATTTTGACATCTGTATCTGTCACTCCCTGATATCGACATCTGTATCTGTCACTCCCTGATATTGAAAGTGTTTCATAAAAGACATAACAAGTAAAAAAATAAGCTAAAACTCTGAGCACAGATTCAGTGGAAGTCACTGAGAGTTTGGATGAACTTCCTGCACTCTAAGGAGGATTTGAGGGAAAACTGTCAATCTTACAGCTGTGAGAAACACATGAGGACAAAAGTGTCTGATTTACTGTGTAATATGTGTGATGTTTGTGACATTAAAAAGGTTGTTTTCAAAAGATCTAGAAGTTTAAATTGTTGAACATGGTTATTGTTAAACCTCTAAAATCTCCAAAGGGAGGGATCCCCGATTAGTTGTAACATTAGGCATTGTAACATTTAGTAAACATGTATTTTAACTGTAAATACTGTAAAAATACTGTAGGATGTTCC